CGGACCAGCGCGCGCGGCAGATTTAAAGTGAGGAATACTTTGTAGTAATCTTGATGGTTTCCACGATTCCTTTAGTTTCGCGCGCGCCGCCACCGCGCGCCGCGGACAGACGCTCCTCCGCACGAGCCGCGCCAAGAAGCGTGTTTCCCTTCACTAAATTTTTACGAGGCATGTTTTGTCAACAGGCCGTTTAAAAGATGCGATAGGTGAGGCTAGGGGAGCAGCAGGGAGGGGGGGAGGGGGGCCGAAAAGAAATACGTCGGTGGGAGGGTGATGCAGGCCGGATTGTTTTAGGCGCGTTGACCTATGACCCGCCTCCACCCCATCGACGCCGACCCTGTGAGGAGGACCGGTGTGCCAGACTTACACCATCTTCAGCGGGGCGGGCGTGTCGTCGCAGCGTGTTCTGACGCAGCTTTTGTCCCCCACTACCACATGTCAAAACCCTTTTTCTCGAATTCGGTGAAGGCGGTGTGGGAAGAGGCCAAGGCCAGGCCGGGTCGCTTACCCCCGGCGCTGATTTACTCCCCGGGGGCGTGGCGGGGCGTGGCGGGTGGGGCGGGCGCGAGGCCGCGGCCGTGTCGTGGGGGTGCAATCAAACCGCCCAACGGGCCGGGAGAACAAAGAAGTACCGGCGCCCCAATTTACGGCGTGCTGTCCCCCAAAATTACGCTGAAAAAGTGCAACGTCTCTTTGTGCGTCGGCGCCGCGCGAAGCCAGATCGCCCCGCGCTTTCACGTGAAGCTAGAAAATATAGCCGTTCGCGACGTTTGCTGCGGCGGCGGCGGCGTGTAAGTACGCAGCCGGGCGTGGCGTGACGGGGCGGGGCGGGGAGGGGTGGCGGAGGTTGGGGAGGGCAGGGCCGCCCCGCCCGCGATCCGGTAAGTTGCTTGTCCCGGCGAGGCCTGTCGTGGAGCCCGACGTTTTACGCCGTTTGCGTGAAATATCTGAGTGGCGGAATTTTTACGAGTGGCCCGCGCGCTACAAGGCGTCGCCGGGAGGGAGTAGGGGGCGTCGCGTCGGCGTCGGGCCGAGGCCCATGGAGGCCGAAATGGGCGCTCCCAGTGGGGCTCGCAGGGGGCGCGCAGAGGGGTCAAAGGGGCTCCCAGAAGGGAGAACATGAAGGGCGCTTTCGGTGAAGTCCTCGCGGGACCTTGAGCCCGGACACGGCGGCGTGGCGGTGCCGTCTGGCAGAGTCCGAGGAATATATGACGGTGTCCCTTATCTCTGTCACTAGGCCGAGGCTCGCTCGGAGGCGTTTCGGGTACCACCGGGCCAGGCCAGGGGCCAAGGGGGCTTGTCCCGAGGACGCCGCCGAGGAACCCACCTCCAGGATAAGCATCGCGAGAGGCGTATGCGGCGTGCGTCAGCGCCGGCCTGGTCCCGCCGGGGGTACGGTGGTGCGAAGCACGGCGAAGCATCTCGAGTTGCACTTGCCATCATGATCCAACCATTAGATTTTTCCGAGCCCCCTAGCCCTTTTCTCTGTTCTCCCTCTCTCTCTCCCTTCTCTACCACCTCCTCCCCCCCTCTCTCTCTCTCACTCTGACCTTCGCGCCTCCGCCTCTCTCTCTCTCCCTCCCCCGCCCGCTTATCGCCCGGGGCCTAATTAAAGTTGCGGTGTGGATGACTTGCTCGCCTGCAAGGTGCCTACAAGTCATGACCGCCCCGGCCGTCGTGAGTAACAAGAACACCGCGAGCTCGTGATGAACAATAAGGTAGCCAGGCGGGCGAGGTCCTCCGCGGGTGGGGTCCGTCCCGCGAGCACGGCGACCTGGCGAGGCCCCGGCCCTGGTTCCTAAACGGGGTCCTGGTTTGCGACGGGCGCCCGGCACCGCCGGCCCGAGGGCACCCACGGCAGTCAGAGACATCTCACTCGAGGGAGGAGAGGCCGTCCAGACTAACGAGCTGCCTGGGCTCCAAAGCCAGCCAGAGGGCCCCGGGGCGACCGATATACCCCGTCCCCACACCGGGGAGCGGGCGATTCGGCAGAGTGCGCGTCGAACTGACGGTGATCGGCAGGCGCGATGACTGCGTCCAGGACGACGATCACGATGATGATGATCGTGTTTGTGGGGGAGTGGAGTGGGGCCCCGAGGCGGTCCACTCTGCTCCGCTATGCAGGACGGAGGCGCGCCGGGGCCGGGCCAGCCCGGGCCCGCCCGTGGGCGCCGCGGGCCCCCCTGACCTAACCAACAATAACCATAATA